CTGTGTATACAAAATATGTATATATAGGCAACCCTTTGCATGCTTTTTAGGGACGCAGTTTACACAGCAAGAGGCCTTTGGCATATGATTTGCGAACCTTTTTCTCCGGTTGCTTGTGCCCAGTTTGTCTGGGCGGCAGTCAATTTGATTGTGGTGTTGGTCGATTTGGCATGTGAAGAAAAAGTGTTGCCTACTTAAATGGGCAGCGGCTAAGGCTGCTTGAAACTAGAAAACTGCTTATGCGCAGCCATTTTCAAATTTAAAATGTAAGGCAAATGAAATAGGAAAAAAAAAAGCTCACAATATACAGTTGCCTAGTCTTAAGTGTCTGTAATTGTTCTTTCTGTCGCTGTGGTTGCTGTTGCTCTTGTTGTTTTGTATTAGCGCAGCCGACGGTAAAACTTTCAACACCCGCCCACCCACATAGACGAGCTGTTTGCACGCCCACCTACCATCTTCAGCCGCTTTCCCCCTCCCACACTTTCTCACACTCTCGACCCGAAATCCCAAAACGAACAAGCGACACGCGCCCTAGCGCCAGGGCTTGCCACAGCAGAGGCACAGAGCATGTCGACGACAGACGACGCTGCCAGGGCCAACATTAGCATTGAAGTGTGCAAACGACGCCACCCACAGACACACAAATAAACACACACACACATACATATACACACACATATATACACTCAGTCACACTGAGCAGGGCAGTCAGCCGTCGCCGCCATGCCACGCCATGCAGCAGTTGGAGCACTCACGCAAATTTCAATTTTTTTCACACCAATGGCTCTTGCTTGCCCTCTGCCTTTGCCACATTGCGGTTGTGTGTCTAGCCGACAAATTTGTCGAAAGTGGTTTTCATTTGATTGCTCAAAGCGGCATCTTGCAAAAATAAATTAACTTTCGTGAGTATTTTTTACTTCACTTATCCATATTAATCGATGTGATTTGAGATATCTGCGTTTTACTGCGAAGACATTACTCTTGCCATGATTACTCTTGTCCATAATTATACAATTCTCTTCTATACGTTTATTTGGGTTATTGTTTTACGATTTGGTTTTATTTGCGGGTTGTGCCTGCCGCCATGCTGCATGTTTTCGAAGCACGCGCCAGGACACAACCGCACACAGGCATACATATAACGACACGACCCGCAAATACATACACACACAAACACACACACTTACTGAAACGAGGCAAGGCACACATACACATACAAGCAGACTCAGGCACACAAACGTATTGTACGTGCTTTTACTCACACCGTGTGGCGCACTTCCTTTGATTTAGTCATTTTTCTCTCTTTAGCCGACAACCAACAAGCCATGTGGCTGGCTCCTCTGTCTGTGCTTGTGCCAGTGCCAGTGCCAGGGACCGCACGTCGCTAGTTGCCAGCCACCAGCCACCAGCCGGCAGCCGCCCAGTTGGCAGTGTGCGCACACTTCCGATGATTTCGGTTGGCGTGTGGAGCAGGTTGCCCCAAACGTCCTGGGCTGTTATTTTTTTGCTGTTTGATTTTCATTTCTGTTTTGCCACCAATACCTTTTTGGCCACTTTTGTTATTGTTGTTTTTGTTGGCTGCCGTTGAAGTATTACTTTGCAACTGCCACGTTGCGGTTGCGCGCGCTCATTTCACAACTGTCCATAACTTTTTATGCATTCTCTTTTGCATACCTTTCGATTGATTCGCATTGCACAGCTGTCAATATCGATTCATTTGCTTCACTAATAATGGCGAGCAATGTTATCGAACTGATCAGTGGCGATACTTTTACCAAGCGAATAATATCGTTACAATCAGCATCGATTACTGATGGAGCTAAGCAGCGTACATGCCGTTGTCGCCTAGGCCACACATGCGACTCATAAAAACTGAATACCCAAGTTGCATGCACAGACATACACACACTCACACACATGCACACATAAATATATAGCACACTTGGGGGGGTTCGGGGATTTGGTGTGAGAAGACAAGCCGTGCGGCAACATCAGCATCAGCATCAGCGACAGCGACAGCTTTGTTGCTGCTGTGGCTTAGTGTGGGGCCCGGCCTGGGACTTGGTGTGGCTATAAACGATTTATGTGTATGCTTGTGAAGGCCAAGCGCCACATGATTTCGACCCCGAGCCGCCCCCTGCCCCTCCCACAATCAACGGCGGCATTCAAGTCATCGTTCAGTTCAGTTCAGTAATTTTACAGACTGCGCCATCAGCTGCCAACGCACAGAAGGTAAAAATGGAGGTCTGACTGGCTGCCATTCGCCTCTAAGTGSCATGTGGGCGAACAGAGACACACACACACACAAACATTTGTGTGTGAGTATGTTTGTGTGTGTAAGTTTAAGTGTGTTTCTGTGCGAGTGTGTACTTTACAGTTGTCGATTGCATCTGTAAAAGTGCATGTCGCTGACGGCTGACAGTTCGACAGAAGACGAGCGTCTAGACCAAACAGCAAGCGGGCGATGCTAATTAACAATTTAGCTTAGACCAAACGCTGTCGGCAATGCGCAACAATAAAAGCAAATCAAGTAAAAATATACAATGCGAAACAGCGCCACATTCTCGCCTTCTCGCATATGTACCAATGCATTGCAATGGGTGCAGCTTATAAATGTAGCATACTTTACAGGGCGACAGACTTTGGTATAAATTAAGTGAGAATATGAGATCTCCGCATAAGATCACTCCTGTAATTTTTAATTTGTATAAATAAATTGTTAATAATATACCTTATGTGTAACATTAATAATAAAAATAAAATATTGGAGTAAAAACAAAGAAAAATGAAATTATTAAATAACTAAAATAAAGTAAATAATAGATATCATATATAAAAACCCATCTGCTTAAAGACCATCTATCTGGTATATAATAGCTTCACACTAGTAAAGCTTCTACTAAATGATATAAATATAACTGCAGATGGTATCGCTGGCAACGCATAGATCAATCTAGGAGATATAAAAGCATATCTGCAATTTGTTCCTTTTGTCAACGAACGCTCACGCTGTCGCTGTCGCTGTGATAGCTGTCCAAAGCAACGCCATCCTTTTGCCCACATCGATGTCGTATTTATCTAATAGTCCCTGCAGCTGCTGCTCCTGCTGCCGTTGCTGCTGCTGCTGTCACAATGGTCTACGTCTGGCGTTGATGCCCCATGCTACAGGAATTGCTGTCGCCTGGCTTATTATTTGCCACGACTGCTGCGGCGTTAAAGTTTCGCCTCGTTGGTGTTATGATTTCAATGTGGGCAGCCGAACGGCACGACGACCCTCGACCCCTCGACCCACGACTCTCCGACCCCAAGCCCACAATCGCAACCGTCATCGTCAGCATCTCCATAGACACACACACATACATAAATATTCACACAGATGTGAACACCCACACCAGCCCTCAGGCCACAACCATAGCTAACTCCAGCTAGCTGGCTGGCTGGCTGGCTGGCTGGCTCACTGGCCTGACGGCATTTGCGCAGGACACCCAATAGACAATATTTCAAGCAGTTAGAGAGAAGCTGTATAGTATATACATAAATATGAACTAATTCAGCTATTAATTACCTAAACAGCCTATATCCTATTAAGTGAATCTTTATACCTTTAACATAAAAAAAATTAATTATTGGCAACTGTTAAATCATACCACTAACCAAATAATATTTGGTTGGTGATCATACTAATCTCTTATATCAGATTTCCAAGAGATTCATGTTAGCATTGAGATGCTGTTAAATATTACATTTTCCACATTTCCAATCTATGACCATAAATGTTATGTTAACAGAATCTGTACAGATCCAATCAGAAAAGCGGCAGCTATCGTCGAAAACTTTAGTTTGTCCTGTTAAACATATTTTACAAGAAACTGTTATTAAGATTGAATATGTAAATAATTATCGATTATGTGTAAATTATTATATTGAGATTGTATCAATAACTATTTACATATATATATTTAAATATTAAAATTCACGTGTCTGGCTATCTATTATGATTTTTGCTGGTCAATTATTCACATTCATTTTCAGTTGTACACAT